TGGCATATGTTTGCTAGTTCATCATTAAATCTACTTTGACAATATTGCCATCAAGACATTGTCTTATTTAGTCAACCAAATCTCCACTAAATGCGATAATTTCTAGCTTCTGAAAAATTGGATATGACGTACCAAGAGATGTACTAGAAGGTTTGATAATCAAAATTTAATTGAAAAGTTAGGTTTGATAAACCAAGATTTACTAGAAAGTTAGGTTTGATGAACTAAAATTTAATAGAAAATTCAGTTAGGTTTGATAAACCAAGATTTGCCAGAAAGTTAGGTTTGATAAACTAAAATTTAATAGAAAATTCAGTTAGGTTTGATAAACCAAGATTTACTAGAAAGTTAGGTTCGATGAACTAAAATTTAATAGAAAATTCAGTTAGGTTTGATAAACCAAGATTTGCCAGAAAGTTAGGTTTGATAAACTAAAATTTAATAGAAAATTCTATTAGGTTTGATAAACCAAGATTTGCCAGAAAGTTAGGTTTGATAAACTAAAATTTAATAGAAAATTCAGTTAGGTTTGATACACTAAAATTTAATAGAAAATTCTATTAGGTTTGAATCTTTACTAGAAAATTAAGTGTAGATTGATAAAACCAAATTTACTAGAAAGCAGTGATTTATTAAAAATTAAGTTTTGATATACCAAGATCTTCAAGCAAGGTGCCAACTCTAAGAGAATCCTTTACTTCCAGGAATTATGTACAAGAAATAAAAAATAGAATGAGATCAAAGATTAGAAGGTGTTGAGATCAGATAAACAAGGTATATATATAATAATCACCGGGCAATAGAAAACACCTCTATAACACTAAGGATGTTATGTAAAAATTTTGGCTGCGTAGTCAAAGCTGCCTGAAATCCCACTTTGTTTATCTAATCTCAAATATTTGAAAGAAAAATTTACATTGAAATAACCAGTAGAAATACTAGTATAATATCTAATTCTAAAACCATTATATTTACTTATTTTTACAGGTTTATAGTATTACGTTACCGTTTCTCTTTACTTCTACTCCATGAAATAAAAAAAACACACACGGTAACAATCTGACACATTGCAAGCAAGGTAGAATTAAGGTTACCCTGAGCACACCCATTATCACAGGCAATAATATGCTTTTCTCTTTAATTTCAGGTACCCAAAAGAAAATGGATTCTGAACATTTTTTGAAATTTGGAATAGTTTTATCTAATTAAAATTCCAATATTTATTTTTAATCAAAATCCTATCCTTGTTTAGAACTCCAAAATTGATCAAAACACATCTCAGTTGGGTTATAGCCTTTCAGTCCAAATTTTCAAACCAAGGACTTGACTTCAGAATCCTCTTCTCGTTTGAGTACAGAAGTTAAAGAGTTGGCCACTAATTGCCAATGATAAGTCTTAGTGTTTTATTGAGGTAAATTGTCATTTGTCACTATATAATATACTGCCTTATTAATATCATAAGTCTTCCTTTACAACAACACCCAACATTACAATCCTTTTCCTCAAATAATAACACAATCACCAACAACACCACGCTTTGTCGTCACCAGATGAAAACCCTGGCAGATACTATATACACACAGTAGCAAGCAATAGATAGTTCCTCCATAATAGTCACTTTAATATACGTAGTAATAGTGAGGTATTTTATCCACAAAAATTTCCTGCTCATCATCAAAAAAAGAAATGTAAAAAAGAGATTTGTATAATACCCGCATGTTTTAGTTTTTTTGTTTGTGTGAATATCCTTTTTTTTTGAAGCACTGCTTCATTCAGCCGTAAGGTAATCCGGCTACACCCGCACGTAATCTTTGAGGTCAGTAGTTTTCATAGTTTTTAAAAAAAGAAAAAAAAAAAATTATAAATCACACAACGGAGTGAGAGTTCTTAGCTGCTGAAACGGTTCGACCGTCTCTAACCGTTGTATGTATTTGGTGAGGAGCCATGTTGATCTCTGAAGGAGGTAAAGAGTTCAGTGTGTGGCCAGGATTAGGTGACGACAACGCCGATGACATGTTTCCTGTCCGGACAGATGATGTCATGTGGTCTTGGGAGCAGCTAGGGGGGTCAGGAGGAGGTGGAGGTAAATCCATTTTGACCGTTGTAGGTGAGGTAGTTGTTGACTGGTGGTAGTGTTTGTTCCTGAGTAATAATGAGTCATCTGATTGAGGTGATGTGTGAGGACTTGATTGACCAGTATCGGTTATAACTACAGGTGTTGCTGCCTCTATTAAACAGGGATCACCATCACTATGGATGGTTGGAGGATGAACTGCTGCTGTTGCTGCTATTTGTGGTGGTTGCTGTTGTTGAAGGTTATTGATGTCCTCCTCACTACCTACACTATGATTGATATCATCTAATGATGCACTCATCTCACCCTCAATAAAACTACTACTATTGGCAGGCGTATCACTGCCCTCTCCTGTTAAACTGCCATCAGTGGCGGCAAGCATTGCGGCTATCAACCCATGATGCTCCTGTAAATACATCGTTCCATACTTATGATATTGCGATAAGAATGAAGCAAATCTTAGTTCCATAAATTTCGATATGCATAAAGAATCATTCTAGTTTTTGATACATCTGACAAGTTTGTTTTTTCTCAAGTGGGAATAACAGATATTATAATCAAATCTTATTGTTTGTGTATATGAGCTTATTGAATATCCATCATACATAATTTTCATTTTTCAGTTTTGTTCCATCATCTGTAGAGTTCATAATTAAAATCAAAAGACACCAACCTCCTTATTGCTGCTTACATCAAGTTGACTATTGTTGCTGCTGGTGTATGAGGGAACATGACCATTAGCTATGTGGCCATTTTGAGTTGAAAACCCTCGAGTTTTAACTCCATTTGGAGTAACTATCATCATCCCTCCACCCTAAATAAATACATTTAATTTCTATTTTAGAATCAATTTATATGAACTTATCAGAGAATTATTCCATTACTCCCTCTCTTGACATTAATAGAAAAAAATACAATATAAACAGAAATGGCAAAATCTGTACACAAAGGGAATCATGACAGTTAACAATATAGTAATTTTAAAACCTTTATAATTTGGATCAACAGGGAACTTAAGGTTCATTAGTTTACCTTCGAGTCTGACTGCTCATTCTCTGTTAATGTAGTTAACATGGGAGTGAAAGCATCAGCATCATGTAAATCCATTGGTATATGTTCTGAACTTCTGGGTACATGACCATTACCATTCTGTGGTATATGACCATTACCATGATATATGGGAGGTGGAGGTGAATGATGATCCTCATTATAAAAACATCTGAAAATATGTTTAATCCTGTAAGTAAAATGTTAAAGTGGCAATGTTTTCCTGAATCTATTATGCTTTAAAAGAATATACTGATACAAGTAATATATGGACTCGTTCTTTTAATTCTAAAGAATTGTTGGTTGCAAAATCTGGAATTCTCAACAAAATTACTTCCTTCAAGCTGAACACTATGAAGGATGATGCGAACCTATGGCACCTGTTTTCCGTCAGATGACAATCCAACTCGTAATCAATAATATAGCAAGTCGTTGAACTCATTGTTGATTTCTGTCATGTTCTCAAACAACTTCCCCTATCATTATTTTTTATCACAATTTAACCTTTAAACCATTGCAAGCAATATCATGTTCAGTACATAATAAATATACTTACTTTTTACGAAATACAATGACGAGTATACAGATAATAATACAGAGTATACCAATAGTAACACCAACAATAATACCAACTTGTTGTCCTGTCAGATTACCTTGTACAGATCCACCTGTAATATAAAAACAAAATATCTTTGAGGCATGGCATTTTTAATCATCATATGCTTGTTTTATCAGTAACAGCACTTACTCTTATGCCTAGTTCACACCAACAACGAATGCCGCGCTTTAAATCGGCGAGCAAAGCGCCATCATTTTTTGTTTACTTTTCAAAAAATATCACGATCTAAGTAATGTTACGCTCTGGTAAGCTCTGATACGAATTGGTTACGCTTTGTGGACGAATTATTTCCCGATTTAATCAGGCCTTGTTACGCTGTAAATCACGCTTTGATAAGCTTTATTAAGCTTTGATGCTCTGTTACACATTGGAAAATTTCGAAATGGCCGATTTCATGCCGCTTTTGATCAAGTGGTGACAGACCGTGAAGACTGGGGTCCCCGCTTTGAATAAAGCTTTAAAGCGCCATCAAAGCGCCGTTGGTGTGAACTGAGCATTACTGATGTTACATGTAAAATATTTTCAGAGGTAAAAATAATGCTGTTGCTTAGAATTTCAAAGAATGCAAATTAATATCCTTTTAAAGCTTTTCGGAAGTCAAGACACTGCATAAAAAATAAAAATCATCATATTATCGGGCAATTAGCAAATATTGCAAAATACAAATATAATGTAATTACGTGTTGAGGCTAACAAGAAGAACAAAAAGATAACTAATATGACTCAATTTTCTCCTGTTGTGAGTCTCACATCAAATAATCTTATAGTATCTGGTAATTTCTTACCTTTCACTGGTGTACATGGATAACTGCTTTGTTGTCCTTTAAGACATGGTCTGGGATAAACAGTGATGATTTTGGAGGGTCCACCTTGTCCAGCCTCAGTACATGCACTCAGTTTAACATAGTAAGAGTTGGCTGTTAATTCATTAACTCTAGCCTTTGTTACTACACCTAAAAAAAACAAGATTATCTTACAAGACTTGTGGACCTATCCTTAGAGAAACTTTCATGGAGATGTTATATGATGGATTCTTTTTTTCTTTTCCAAAGTATTTTGTGCTCTTTCATATATCATTTCAGAACTAGTTGCAATTCATCGATAATTTGCATGATTGATGAGCTTCCTAATCTTCCTTATATGTCAGTCATCACAGCTATAAATCCTGAAAAAACAGGAATTGGCTAAGGACCAGCTGATAGACAATTAGATTTCCAAGAATCATAGTATGTAAACTATGTTTAACCTCAGTACTAAACATTACTTACCATTTTGAGTGACATTGTTCCACTTGGTATCAGGTAAAGATTCGTCAATATTATAGAAGATAATATAAGATGTTATCACACCATTAGGTTCTGTTGGTGGATGCCAGTGTATCTCCACTATACCAGGTGATACTATTTCCCATGTTATATTGGTTGGTGCACTAGGAACTGAAATAGTATTTCAATAATATTGAACATATGTGGGCACACACATTATAACCATGGAAATTTGGCTACACCTGCAAGAGGGTTGCTGCATAAAAATGTCAGGACATAAAGATTTTCAAAAATTGCATAACAAAAATTGGTGATTAAAAATATTTGTAAAACTTATTCACAACAAAATTCATATACAACATTTCATTGCTGAATGGAGAAATATTCCAAGATTAAATTTTTGTCATTTAAACTGAACACTGAGTGTAAATAAAAATAAAAATGTCACAAATAATAAATAATTCGACAAGAAGTGTTTGGAACAGGAAACAAGCTACAGGGCGACGTCGGCAAAAGTCACCCCAATAATGGTTCAAAATAATATTTCCACTGCGATTTAAATTCAGAAATTCTGCTCCGCGAAAGGCGAAACAGCATGATTTGGCATGAAGCCGCTTGTGTGGAAAAGGTTAAACAAAAAATATTTAAAGAAAGTTTTGGGGAAATTAGACTAAAAACTACACAATATGCAATATTTAAACAACTCACCATCTTGCTTAGTTCTGACAGTAACAACATCACTAAATTCACCCTCATCATCAGGAAGTTTAGGCCGAACTTTAAAACCATATCTAGTGAAAGGTTTAAGGTTGGTGATTTTAGCATTGGTGGTCACACTGTCCAGACATTTCATCTGATCTTCTCTACTGTTCGGATAAAAGCAGACTTCATATTCATCCACTGGTCTCTCTTCTCTCCAACTTAATAATACCACTGATGAGGAGATGACTTTTGGCATTACATTTTCTGGTGCTGTTGGTACCCCATCATCTGATGTTGAGAACTCTTTAGTTATTGGTGAAGACTGTCCATTGGAATTCCTCATCTTAAAAGTCACTTCATAAATAGTGTGGTTTTCTGAAAGACCAAAAGATCAAGAACAATTATTATACATTGAACCATATCAGCTAATATTATAACTTGAAAAAAAGAGCAAAATGAAAAAAATTTCAGCAATAATATCTAATATCAACAATTGCTTTTTCTACTTAATCATTAGTGAATTTTGTGTTATCATTACTCATTAATAAGAATATGGTAAATGGAATCTGTTAATGTCAAATGTTTTTTACTTCAGCTTCAGATTTGAAGACAATTAGTTTGTTACTTGACCCTTTTTTATGAAATAAGTAGCCACTTTAATTGTCCTTGACCATGATGTCTAACATCATCCGTCACTTCAGTGAGGTCAACTTCAAATACTTTGAGTGGGTACTTAAAACTTTCCTGAGAGTGTTTTGATCAAAAAATCTATCAGCACCCACTTAAAAAAATTGTTAGTAGTGACCTATTTTGAAATGATAATGGTCATATGTTTTTTCAATTAAAATGAAGAGTTCTGAAGTGGCTTAGATTCTAATAGTTTCCCTTCAACTTTGAAGCCTGACCTCTCCCGTAACAGTTCTTATATTATCTAGATCCATGCCAACCTTGAATCAGTTACATGTTACAATAACAAAGATTGTCACTGTTAAGATAGTTCTCAAAACATCAATAGAAATCTTAAAATGGAACCTGAAACACGTTGTTCATCAGACATGCAGACATTAAAACAAATACTCCTGTTATATCTAATAATGATCTCTAATTCATTTTTGCGGGTCGTACAATCAGTGAATTCATGTTTCCACAAAATATGATAAGAATCTTTAAATTTACATACAAATTTGATGCCAACAAAATCAAGGTGTTTTATAAAATGTTGCAAGTTGTCCTCAAAAAGGTCAAATTTTGAGGATAACTAGGAAAAATTCTTGATAAATCCTTTTTAATCTGAACTTACCTAAATTGGAGATGGTATAAGACGAATCAGAGAATTTAAGACCAAGATCAGCTAGAATAACATCTGTTACTGGATTACGAACAGTCAAATCATACTCTGTATCTACCGCTAATTGTTTCTTATTCTCCCACATGAATGTAGCTGTTGTGGAATTAACGAATGAGAGCCAAAACCTAGGTGTTGGTGGTCCTACAGGTAAAATTCCAAAAATGTTATCAAACATATCCAAGTATAACTAGTCCAGTGGCTTTGTAAACTGAGATTAAACTGTTACATTATTTTGTAAGATCCGAAAAGCCTTTACTAGAGTGAATCTAAACCATTACCAATTCTTTCAACCACAGAATCAGTAAAATTTGAAAGACATTTAGAACTTAAAAGATATAACATATAACAAAAAGATAGTGGACCACAGCCATATACGCCCACCACGGCACGCGGATGGTAAAAACAAAACATCCATTTTAAGTTTCATCAAAATCGGTTGAAAACTAAGATAGTAATAGCATATTCAAGATTTTGGGGCAAGGGAAATAACTCTGCTTCTAACGGTCAAAAAAAGGTCGAAAATAACATTTAAACAAACCTGATGGTCCAGGGTATTTTGGAACACGATGTCTGACCCAAGACCATTCCGATTCTTGTAATTCAGGATAACCAACTTTAGTAGCTGCCAATACTCTGACTTCATACTCTGTATCTGGCTGTAGATCTATAACAATCAATAGAATTATCATGTACTAAGCTATATGTATTGTGAGCATTTTTAATACTAAAACCGAAGTCGGTTAGAGCGTTGGTTCTTTACATGATGTTATTTGTTTGGTAATTTCAAGTGAATGGCCGCTGTGGGTTCTGATCTCGATTGGCATGTAAAAGGCTGATGACCTTGAATAAGCCATCTTAAATCATAATTCCAGTAGACCCAGTTGTTAATGGGTCTGGATAATCTATGAAAGATCAATGCCAAGAGTTTTGGTCAAGGACCAGCTGGTATAAAGGATCCTTAACCTAAGTTGTTATACTTGTAAATTAAAGTTGTTTCTTTCTTTCTATATAGAAGAAAATCCCAATTTACCTGTTATGATAAAAGATTTCTGAGTGGCTGGTATATCAACTGACTGATGATCTGAACTACCAGCACGCCGATAGTACACCTTGTAGTTGATAATAATACCATTGGCTAAATGTTTTGGAATCTCATCCCATTCTACTACTATATTATTAGACTGAGTACTATCTAATGTAATTTTTGGAGCTACATTTGGTTCTGAAAATAATATTGGCATCAAATGAGGAACATGAACCATGCTTAAGCTAAACTGTTTTTGTTTGTCCTTCAGTGCTAGCATTTGAAGAATCAAGAAATCAAGATCTGTATTTCAAATGAGAAATTCTAGACAATGCAGATGATTACTATTCATTTTTGAATAGACAAAAAAATAGCAAATGTACTGCTTGAAATGGCACGCTGTCATAAGAGCAGCCAACAAAATAGCAAAATATATTTTGAAGCTGTAGTAGCTGCATCCAAAACAACTTGGATGTAAATAGGCATTTAAATGCTATTTCAAAGCTTTTGAAAGTTGAAACTTCTTGGCCAATAAGAGCATATATTCATGAGTAGATATACCTGGTGTCATAAATAACATAACAGGATACTTATATAATCCGATAAATCAAAAACCTCAGTAATTATCCATCAAAATGCAATTAACTCTTGAAAAACACTTAATATTGTCAATAATTACTTTGGTTTATAAATTTTCCAATTTTCCAGGGATTCTGTTGTGACTTTATGACACCAGGTATGTTAACTTATGAATATATACTGACCATTCTTGAGAACTTAAATTTTATCTTCATTCTCAGACTTTAAATAGCTTAATCAATTTCAATTCTAACGATGTAATGATTAGTTTTGAGTTAGTGGGATTGGAGAAGGAGGCTTTAAAGATGTCAAGATGAAGATATTACTGCAGTGACACGCTTTTACTGGATTTATTTGCGTTATGACCCTTGTCTAGATTCAACATGGCCGACACATTAGTAAGGTCTTTATGATTTGAAATGTCTAAATATTGAACTTACTGTCTTCAAGTGTCTGTAAGATGATACTGGGTGAATCAAGACTGGCACCAGATTTGGTTACACTCTTGACAGATAGAGAATACTTAGTAAAAGCTTTTAGTTTATCTATAGTTATATTGGTCACTGAAACCACTTTATTCTCTATTCTGGGGTCTGTAAATATATTGAAAATTATATAAAAGCTAAAGTGAAAAGCAACTTTTCTAGGTGATGATCTTCAAACATTATCAATAATAAGGAAACAAAACTGTTCATCAAGTCCATGAGCAGTCTAATAGAAAGGGACAGATTTGCTATGCTTTGACAAATCGTAAATTAGTCTCAGAAACAGGAATTGTTTAAGCTAAGCCAATCAATAATAGTGTACACAGGTCACTTTCATAATTTGAGCCTTCAAATCCTAGAGTATTTAGAATTATCAGCATTTTAAAGATAAATTACGACACGTCTTTTCTTAAGACTCTACCATATATTGAAAATGCATTTTTTGTAATAATTATAACAAGGCGAAATTCTAAGAAATTCTTAAGATTCAGATCTCCTAAGTTACTTACCCTGAGATATGGGGTAATACATGACAAGATATGTCAATAATTTAGTTGAAACTGGTGACCATGTTAGCTGTATCTTAGAACTGGATAGAACAGTTCCTCGAACATCTGTTGGTGGTTCTGGAGCACCTTCTTTCTTAAACACCTTCAATAACCCAGTTGACATAACTTGTCCTATACCATTATCACCAATACATTGATAGTAGCCTGAGTGATTGGGATTAGCAGATAATACCACTAGTTTGTCACCTCGTAACTGAAATAGAAACCCACAAAGACCAATGTTAGTTCCTTCTGTCTACAATTTGACAGGGGCACTATATGCCCAAAACTTTAACTAGAATAACTCCTACCCCAATGAATGATTCATGTTTATAATGAACTATCACAAGTATATGATACTGATACTATCAAAAGATTCTCATCATAATATTTGGAATCGTCCTTAATGTGCACAACAACTCTTTGCTGGACTAAATGTGAGTACTTACATCAAGAGTTTCACTAGCACTGAGATAATGTTCACCGTTAAAATACCAGTTAATATTAGGTTCAGGTACACCATCTAATTTACATTCAAATATAACATGTCTCGATATTGGCCATTCTTGTGATTTTAATCCAGTTTTTACATATGGTCGCCCTAAAAAGAAAAAAAATTCAAATTCCTAAATGATCTGAACAGTTGCATTGCTATACACATCCAAGAAACCTGCATAAAGAAATATATAACATTACTGTCTTAACTTTTTGAAGCAATTTCTTTGCGACCACTTTCTGGATCTTCTATTACCTCTTAGAGAAGAGTCTTTAATTGCTGAAATATTGAGCACTTGAAAAGTATACCATCTTTTTAACTGGTCACATTACAATACTTGTAACATCTTTGAAAAGAAAGAAGCCATTCAAGGCTAATTCTCTTCTGTGCTTCTTAATATTGATGATACACAAACTTACTGAGTACTGTGAGATGTGCTTCGGATGAAACTTTAGGATGATTGGATGAATCAGATGAACAGATGTATGTACCCTCATCAGATCCAGCTAATTCATAAAACTTTAAATTTCCCCATCCATATCTTTGACCTGATATTGACTTTTTATCTGAAATATGAATAATGTGATATAAAACAGAAATGTCTGCAGTAGGATTCAAACTTGCTCACAAGGTACCACCAGTCGGTTATCATTTTCATCTGTTTTAGTTGATTCTTCAGAACAACAGAGCAGATCTGGTTAAAAACTTTTGGCGAAAAGAAATTTAAACACAATTTTTCATCCTAGTTTTTCCTCCAAAAAATTGTCTTTCATGATTACTGGTTCAACTGTCTTCTAGTACTGGCACAAATCAATATATCGCAATACAACATTCCACATTACGTGTATTGTATCATTACCTCTCATTCCATGAAAAGTGGGAATGGAATCTCAAATTACTTTCACTGAAATTGTTGCTTAAAATTCAAAAGAGGATTGACATCATTGAAACTTAAAAGATAAAATGCTATCAGTCAAATATAAATTTAATTGATTTTAAAATCAGTCAAATATAACGTTCTGTTAGATATCAATCAATTTCATAATCATTTTTTGATCATATACAATTCATATTAACGAAACAACCTGTAAATACACATCAACAATAAAATGTTTCTACAGTGTTCTCATGCAACAATATCATATTTTATATAGACACAGCTTTATTGAACAACAATCACTGGTTAAAGTTTTATGCAACGTTTCGATGAGTTTTCCCCGCCGTCCTCCGATCTTCAGACAACTGACCTATTTTCAACCTGTGTCCCTACTGAAGTTGGACAATTAGAATATTGTTTTTATTTTTACGTTGTGTCGTACTATGCCCAGTCAAAATGGTGTATAAACATATTTATTGAATTTTTAAATTCTGATCTTTGTCAACAAATTTCAAATTAAAGAACTCTGATCTTTGTCAAAAACAGAATTCACAAGTTTGATGCCATCAATAATACGCTATTTTTATTTTGATTATAACAAATTGTTAACTGTAACTCAGAAGAGAAAAAATATAACATTAATTTGTCAAAACGAGGAGTTCATAATTGGATAAAGGAAAAGTATATGTTTTTTTGCCAATTGCCAAGTAAATTACCAGGGAAATAGACACCTAGTAAGATAGAGTTGCAGAAAATCAATACTGTTTGTAGGTCAGAATACATTAGTGTTTAGTATCTGAATATTCAGATAAATAGGGAATAAGATCAGTAGAGCCTATAGTACTTATGACCATGTTCAGCTTGTGTCTCAAAAAGAGATTTGAACGGTCATGGATCATTATGAAATGAAATGAAATGGGATTGTAAAAATGTTTCTAAAATTTTTAGGTGTATTGGAGTCAACCACAGCATCAATTTGAACCATTTCAATTTTCAATCAGACATCTGTCTGAACTAAACTGAGCGTTTCATGACATAATTACTAAAAGCAAAATATGCTGTATCACATAGAGGCTTTGTGATTAGTGACGTCATCAAACACTTAGTTTTAAATGTATTGCACAAACCACAGACGTCTGATTGAAAATTTGAATGGTGAAAATTGATGCTGTTGGCATCCCCAATACACATAACATAATTAGAAAACTTCTTTACAATCCCTTTAAGTCAATGCTTTAAGAGTGTTCAGCAACAGAAAAGCAAATTTTATCTAGATAAAACCATAAATGTTCCTACTTTTGACTGGAGAAGACAGTTTTTGATTGCTCAAAGTCAAGGAAGTCAAAGATCAAAGAGTGACCAGGGTTGGAATGATTACAAAATTGAGATCGATTACCGATGGCATACTATATATATTTTAATTGAGAAACCCTTTAAAAACATTTCAAAATTCTTAATTTCATGATTTATTTTGTGTCATAGAACTATATCATCCAATTAACCATTGAAATTTAATTAAAAGACATGGACTTGCTGTATTTGTATGTAGAAGATTTTGATCACTAATTTGGTCTCAATTCGGTAATAAATACCCAGCCATAAAATAAAAAAAAAATCCAAGTCATACCTTTACGAGTCCAAATGACACCTGGTAGAGGATAGCCATCTATTAAACATTCTAATTCAGCTGTTTCACCATATATACCCGTAATATTTTGTGGTGGAGCCAGCATCTTAAAATGTCTATTTCCTACTGCTGAAAAATATGTTAGCAATAACTTTTAGTCTTCCTTCTTAACAAGAAATAGAAATTAAATTTCAAGTACAAATCTTCTTTTCTTTTTATTAATCATATGAAAGTAGATCACTTGCGTGATGTAATCATTTAAAGGGACAGATTCACCATTTGTTTCACTAATTGTACCTCAGTCTCAGAAACTGGAATTTTTTAGCTAAGTTCATCAGTAATAGTCTCACCGTCAAAATTTTAGCTCTCAATTCCATGTGTGTCCAGAATTACCTGTATTTGACAGTTAAAATGTATATTCGTCATTTCTTGAGATGCTGGCATATGACATATGGAAAATACAAGAGAAATTCCTAGTTTGAGGTACTTTTGAAGGAATTATGCAAATTTCGTACATTTTTTAACTTATGAAGACTATTTACAAATATTCAAGACCCAAATCATGCCCTGAAAATGGCAAACCTGTCCCTTTAATCTATTTCAAAATGTTGTCACTATATAAAATCATAACAGCATAATGTTCATTTGTATGCTTTCATAAACAGTTGTAAATTATTTTAATATTAACATGCTTCATTCAGTAGTCAACAACAAAATGCTTTATACTTGATGTTTAAAAAAATGCATAATCTCTCAATTTTACTCACAATTTTGCACTGTTAGTTGTGCTTCTTTACTATATTTTGGTCGAAATGAGTCACTTCCATCACCAATCCCTGATATATATGCTATGCATCGATATAATCCTGCATCTTCATATTTGAGGTTAGTTATTTGTAGAACACCTGAGGAGAATGTAGTGTATCTGAAATTCATAGAAAGATCATACCATGAAATTCATACACAAGATCATACCATGAAATTCATACATAAGATCATACCATGAAATTCATACATAAGATCATACCATGAAATTCATAGACAAGATTATACCATGAAATTCATACACAAGATTATACCATGAAATTCATAGACAAGATTATACCATGAAATTCATAGACAAGATCATACCATGAAATTCATAGACAAGATTATACCATGAAATTCATACACAAGATCAAAAATGAAATTCATCCAAAAAATCACACATGAAATTCAACCAAACATCACCCATAAAGTTAATTCAAAAAAAAAATCACACATGAAATTCAACCAAACATCACCCATAAAGTTAATTCAAAAAAAAAATCACACATGAAATTCAACCAAACATCACCCATAAAGTTAATTCAAAAAAAAAAATCACACATGAAATTCAACCAAACATCATCCATAAAGTTAATTCAAAAAAAAAATCACATATGAAATTCAACCAAACATCATCCATAAAGTTAATTCAAAAAAAAAATCACACATGAAATTCAACCAAACATCATCCATAAAGTTAATTCAAAAAAAAAATCACATATGAAATTCAACCAAACATCATCCATAAAGTTAATTCAAAAAAAAAATCACACATGAAATTCAACCAAACATCATCCATAAAGTTAATTCAAAAAAAAAATCACACATGAAATTCAACCAAACATCATCCATAAAGTTAATTAAAAAAAAAAATCACATATGAAATTCAACCAAACATCATCCATAAAGTTAATTCAAAAAAAAAATCACATATGAAATTCATACAAAAAAATCATGCCATGAAATTCATACACAAAATCATACCACAAAATTCATACACAAATTCATAAAAAAATTCATACCATGAAATTAATACAAAAATTATACCATGAAATTCAAACTGATTTCAAGGTTAGAGAAAAAACAGTTATTCATTATTCTGATTGAACAATAATCATGGATCCTTTGTGAAGCAGAATGTTCATTTCAAACATCCCTTGACAGTTTAAAATCAAGAAAGATTGGACTAATACCATTATCCTTGTGAATTTTCCTTAATTGCACACTGCATTGTGTTTAATCTTTAGGTCATTAAAACTAAGACATAAAACATCATTTCATTTCAGTAATAATCAGATGAAATATGAAGCAAGTGATTAATATCAGCTAAGTAGGAAGTATAGTATTATATTGACCTATTATCTTGAGGTATCTTATTTCCATCTTTCTGCCATACATATGACGGTTGAGGTACAGAGTTGATATTGCATTCAAACCGGGCTACACCACCTAAATATCCCTGCCATGGTGTAGGCTCTTTACTAAAATTCTTAGCTATACCTGAAAATAAAGTAACATAATAATGAAGAGCTAGATGAAATGGTATTTACAATACAGTTTTTTTGAGTTTCAAGAGGTTTTCCAAAATATTTATTTGTATCTGATAGCAAATCTGGGGACACTGATAGCATCAATTTGCAACATAGCAATTTTTGATTTGATTTTTAATTTGAAAATCGGAATGGAACTATAACCAATCAAAGCATTATATACTTCAATGGCACAATTATCAACCATAGAATTATTTTGTATTAATAGGGTTTCTTAATTGAAATATTGAATCGAATATTGAAAGATAGCTTGCTGTCGATAATCGATCAATTTGGTAACCAATACCCAGTCCTAAACGTAAACTTGTTAAAAAGTTTTGGGGTTAAAAATTTAACATGACCATGCCTATTCTTTACAAATCTATGGAACTAGAAGGAAAAAAAATCTGAGAATGAAAAAATGATGAGTTGACCTAATTGAGACAATAGTTGGGAATATATTACTTATTCCACCAACTGTATGGATACACTTGACTGATCTTACTGAACACCACTACAAATAAAATTATTAGCCTAACAGTCCTGAACATGTATATCATATTACCAGGACAATTACATAAAATAATATATATTTTTATACAGTATCATATTTCCATACATGAAAAAGAATAATACCAAAACATATTATGTTAATTTACCTGATGAACTGACCTATTGAATTCATAATATAATATACCTGAGTTAACTGGGTATTGTTAATGAAATTTCTTGTATTATGTCCTGATGCCATTCAAATTTTGAATAATCATATATTCAGCTTGTAGAGCACAAAAATCAAATTGAATAACCAAATAAGGAATAAGCACTGATTTAAAGGGGTTGTAAAGAGGTTTTCTAAATTTTGTATGTGTATCAAGGACACTGATAGCATCAATTTTCATAATTCCAATTTTCAATCAAATGTCTGTGGTTCCTGCAATTCCACTAAAACTAAGTGTTTGATGACCTCATTATGCCTTACGTGACAGCATATTTTGCCATTAGTGTCCAGTCATTATACAGTCAAACACCAGCATCTTAAAGTGATTGTAAAGAGGTTTTCTAAACTTTTTATGTGTATCAGGGTCACTCATAGCATCAATTTGCACCAACATTCCAACATCTGTGGTTCTTGCAATAGCAAAAAAAAAAAAATTCAAGTTTTATGATGTTATTGGAGGAGAACTACTGGAAGCTACTATTGATATCTGTGCAGTTCCCCTTTAAGGAAGACGCAGACTGATTCCAACTCAGGTGAAAAGAGATGAGAAGATACAGGTGTTATAATCATTAGTACAGCAAAGGGGAAATAACTCTGTTCCTGGTTCAAATTGACCAATAACTACACAATGTATACTATCTATATTAGCCTATGACTCATACACCAACGTGTTTACAATCATCTTTGCTGGCCTGAGGCCAAGTTAACCTCAGGTTAAATACACAAACATAAACACCAAGTATTGATAGTGACCAACTAATAATATCTTACTCAAATATTTCAGCCATACTAATCTTCTTCAAATTACTTGAAAATTTTAAAACAACTAAATGCACGGATAAAACACTACCTGAATGTTTTTTATCCATTGCAGATCAGATTAAAATATATACTTCAGAAACTTGCATCTTAAAAAGCCAATAATGCAGATGAAATCTTTATGCAAAATCTTACTCAAGATTTGTGTTAACTCTTTGATCACAGAGTTTTTTTATGACTTCACTTGACAGTAAGTGCATTGCTTTGACATCAATTGACAGTAAGTGGAAAACACTGACTAAACTGAACGGTAAGACTTTACTTGACAGCAAGCATAAACAGCCTTCACTTGACAGTAAGTGAAAAACTTTGACATCACTTGACAGTAAGTGAAAAGCACTGACTTAACTGAACAGTAAGACTTTACTTGACAGCAGGCATAAACAGTCTTCACTTGACAGTGAGTGACAAACTTTGACATCACTTGACAGTAAGTGAAAAGCACTGACTTAACTGAACAGTAAGACTTTACTTGACAGCAAGCATAAAGCAGTCTCCACTTGACAGTAAGTGAAAAGCTTTGACTTCACTTGACAGTAAGTGAAAATCTTTGTCTTTGCAGTTAGTAAAAGCTTTAACTGCACTTAACATTTGTCTAAGTGGCTCAGATTGTTGCATACTTGTTAACTAACCTTAAGGTCCATGCTTTCTATCCTTGCATAGATAGAGATGATACCTTTTGATGTTTCAATCAAGATTGTCCCTATCAGAGATATAGGTTGAACTGATACACATGGAAAAAGGGTTTTAGTCATTCATATGAGAAAACTGAGACCTTGTATGCTATAGACATATGCTTTACAGTTAAAAAACGAAAAGAGTAGGCTGGTGCTGCTGTCCTGAGAAAATTTCCCTCATTGTACATTAAATGGCATTGCCTGTCTCATGGTCTGTCTAGTCAGGTTTCATTTCATTTGAGGATTATTTCAAAATTTCATAAATATAACAGAATACAGAAACCTAATATTTTGTTAGGTTAAAATGAGCTATACTTGTCAAGTTAAGTTTTTATACTCTTGTCAATAGCCATAAAAATGTAAATATTCTCTTAAGTATAATTGTTTCAAAAGGTCAACTGGCAATTTCTTATAGAACTTATCACTCTACACCTTATAATTTCAATTTAAACATAGAAATACCAAAAAAATCACGTTTTAATACAGTCATTTTATTCAGAATTTCATTAGGGTTCAATTTAAATTGAAATATTTGATTAGCAATTTATCCCACTAAATTTCAGTGTTGGCTAATCAAGTTAAATTTTGATTCACATTTCATAAAAATTCAGCAGCAATTCAAGAAAGGTCAAAAAAACTTTTTTTGTTTTCCCAGACATGGTCATTTATGATTGGTTAAAGCTCTTAATCATATGCAATAAGAATATTATGATTTGATTAAGAATACATGATAATTCATTAGAAACACCAATTAATCAAATAGTTTGCTTGAAATATGGAAACCCATCTTTAAGATAGGAAAAATTATCAGATTATGTATTTTATATCTGTATATCATAGAAATATTTCAAATATCTTTTTTTTTTAACTATATACTTTTTAAACCAGAAGTAAAGAAATAACCATTCAAATTTTCTATCAGATGTCTCTATTTATATTATATCTAAGGGCCTTTGTGATAGCTATGCAATAAAATGATAGGTTTGAAAAACTGATTATTTGATGATATGAAAAACCTCTTAAGAATCTAAGAATCTAATTATATGCATTTCATCCCACCAAACACAAAACTCCATGATCAATTGCATTACCCTCATTCACCCAATTTTGTGATTTCTTCTTAGATTTTCTCTGCAATTTTTTGCATGTCAAAGAATATAGCCTGAATGAATAAAATGACTTAAAGGAATTAAATGACAATCCCTCATTGATCTTGTAGCAGAGTCTCAAGAAAAGAAGAGTTTATAACGTATTTGACGGCTCAAATTGGATGCTGATCAGTTGTAAACAAGGCTACTTGTTAGCTTAGCTAAAAAATTCCTCGTTTCTCAGACTGAGGTATGATTGGTCAATAGATGGCGAATCTATTCCTTTAAATACAATTGTCCTTAATTTTATGTTAGACACCATAGCATAGGCACAGGCATCAGAATTTTGAGGTGGATTCGAACCCACTTCGCCTAATAACTTAGCAAATATCAATACAACTTGCTACCGACTGAACTATTCCACAGCCACAAAAAACATTGTTTTTGCTCGGAGCGTTAGAGGGAAGTATTGGCATTTTGACAATTCAAAAGTTGTATAGCCTGGCACAGGCAAGGATTGATATTAGGGGTTAAAGCCAGCACCAGACTGACTCTCTGAAGCACAGGCATAGGCGTCATAGAGTTACCCTCATTATACCCCCAAAAAATTCCCATTGTTCCAGGATGATAACATCTACATGGATATGATTAATAAAGGAAATACATGCATGTATTAATACTAGGCTGACTTCGAGCAGTAACAAAAATTCACAAATATCAAATTTCATCACTTTTGTAGCCATTACAAGCCAATTATGAATGGATTTAATATCAGACACGGGTACAGACAATATTAATGTGGGTATATGAAAATGGCCTGAGAACTGCCTGGTTACCACATTGATATAAAACAGAATACTAATTAGAATTAAAGTTAAACCATGTATATCATATTTTCAAAATTTTTGACAATATGATGAAAAAAAGAGAATGAAGTTGACATTTAAAAATGAAAAGTTATTAGAAAAATAATAATCATAATTGAATTTTTTGTTAAAGTTCACAGCTGCTTCATATCGGAACCATCATCACCTATATTGATACCTAATTCCTTTATAAATTCCACATCTCCAGTAGTTTAACAGTTGCTATTGTTTTATTTTTAAGGTAAGGTCAAGAAATAATAATTAATTTGGCTTTTACTATGAGACTGGGATTTTTGGTCAAAACAATTTTGTTAAAGTTCACAGCTGCTTCATATCGGAACCATCATCACCTATATTGATACCTAATTCCTTTATAAATTCCACATCTCCAGTAGTTTAACAGTTGCTATTGTCTTATTTTTAAGGTAAGGTCAAGAAATAATAATTAATTTGGCTTTTACTATGAGACTGGGATTTTTGGTCAAAACAATTCAAAGGGAGATGAAAATTGTTTGATATTACTTTTACACATTTACAGATTTTTGACAACAAATTCATTTTTATTTGGTACAGGGGTACCTAGAAAAATGGTTTGCATTCCCAATTGTGCCCCCACTTTTAACACTTTCAAAAATATGAGCCAGAATGCACCAATTCAATTCAATTCAATTCAAAAATTTTCTTGGGAGAACCCTCTCAGACTTTTGTGACAAGGCGCCTTGACAGAGTTGCCACATTCTAAATTCAGTCTGGACA